TGCACAGCCTCAAGCCGGAGAATCGGTGGCGTCTGGTTCCGCGTAATGCTCACGATGCTTTAGCGCTCCTCCTTAGGCGAATGGTAGCTCCACTCATCTTTATGCCCCCCTGTCCATCCCGCCCTCCTGCTGCGGGAGATTTTCTTGGAAGTTTCTGCCAAAAAAAAAGACCTGACTCTTGCTCCTGCCTGCCCGCGTGTCTGGAATAAGGCTCTGAGGTCATAGCTTTCATCAGGTTTTCCCTCGGCGCCCATTGGTGGACTACATATCGTTTTACGTTTGCGTGTGCCATGCCAAACGATAAAAAGTCCATTCTCGCAGCCCTTCGCAGTCTCATGTGTACCCAAGGTCAATTTAAGGTCTGGCCATGGTTCGTCCCAGAGACAGCGCGTGTAGCGCGGGACTGTTTCACCCCTCAACGTGGAAATGTTCTAAGCGCCAGCCCGGCTCAAGTTGGCCCCTCCGACCCTGACTGCGGCCTGTCCCGAAGCCGGCGGATCGTCATTATCGAGGCTCTTTAGAGAGCCCTCTTCCCAACGACCCAACGGATTGAAAACTTCGATATCACTTGATTGATAAAGTGGACATCAGCGGCATCCTCGGATGCCGACATCCATTGGGTGGGATTTCCAAGACGGCGCACCTTCTTCATTATGTCTGTCTTATATGCTCTATCTGCTAGCCCTGTTTGCTACTCATAATATTCGTCGTAACATTGCTGTCATGATCTTCGCTGGCCCAGCTTTCTTTTCTCTGTAACCTTATCAAGGCCAGGACGCACATCGCTTATCTTATCCCGAGAGCCCCAGTCCCAGACCCCTCACGATCCTAACGTCGTCCGCTTGGCGTTCGAGCGCTATCCTCATCTTCTCGTTATACTGTTTCTCTGCCTCTTCAACCCTCGCCTCTTCTTCCGACAGTTGTCTCTCTTCTTCAAAATCGTCTGCTTGGAACCCAGGCTTGCCCGAGAAGCTGACGAGGCCGAGCTTCTCACCCGTCCAGAACAAGATGTCATCATCGTTGACATTGTCCACCCCGGTGCGTGTTTGTGTTGATAAGATCTTTCTGGCAAGATCGTCTGAGCCCGGCATTGACGCGAACAAGGACGGCCGTTCCGAGACTTCGCTATGACCGATCTTATGCCGCCGTACCTCGGTGAAGCCATCCCGTTCAAACCACTTCAAGAGGCCAGAACCGTCAGAAAAGACGATGCGGGTGCCCTGATTCGTCACCGATAGGATCTTGGACTGAGAAGACGTCTGCCGGTTTTTCATGGTAGAGTTCTGCATGAGAGCTGCGGATGAGTTTCCTTGCGGCGGGCACAAGCCGTACAACTCCAACGATCCTTTGGTATTGTATTCGCCTGCAGCAATGAGGGTACGACCGCCGGCCTTCATCTTGGAGTCCAGGACTTGCTCCAAAGACAGCTCCGCCTTTCGACGTATCTCGCTATCCATCGTCGAGAAAGGATAAGGCAAAGACGCAAGACTTGAAAGCCTAGCCCCGGAGTGAATCGATCCTACAATCGACGGGAACGTGCGTCGATCGTAGTGGAGAATATTGGAAAAGCGCCCTGCGACGTAAATATCATCTGAAAAGGAATGTTCGTCGTTCGGGTTCGGCAGATGCAAGATGCTCAGAGGCGTGGGTTGCGACAGGGGCGCATACACTGGTAGCGGATCCGAATCGAACGGCGACTCATCCGGAGAATTTACCGCCAGCACATCAATCTTCTCGACGATGTCCCTCGGCGTCCTCACCCTGGCCCTATAATCGAAAAGGTGAATCCCTAGTGATGTTCCAACGGTCAGTGGCAAGCCAGGAGCGGCAGGAGATAGGGCTGTGATGGACCACTCGAACGACTGCTCCGACGCGACTTCGAGACGATTCAGATCGACTTCCCGCAGATGTCCTTGGACGGCAACGAAAGCCCTGCCGGAGAAGTCGTCCACAGCGATGCACTCCGTCACCCCAGTGTCAATCTTCCTAGACCGTCCCATGGTCTGTGGTCCGTCGAGATAGAGCACCCCATCACGGCTTTTCCCGACCATGGCCCCCTTGCGCCCACGAGCCCCCTTCAAGTCCCAAATGCACATGGACCCATCGTCCAGTGGCGATACAGCCAGCAGTTCGTTGCTGCTTTGGTTCGGGCTGTAGAGGGCCATCCCCCTGACGTCTAGCGTATCCTCTTCGTTCCCGTCCCGAATCCTCGGCTGCTGCAGCCAGCTCGTCGCAATAGGCGCATATCGCTGGATGTACTCGTTGTACCAGAAGACCGGCTCAGTCGGAAACGAAGGGTCCCAGTTGGCCATATCCCTCTGCCTGCGCTGTTCTCCCGTCTCTTCATCGTAAAAGTGCTGTGGCGGTTCCGTACCGCTCTGCTCTTGGCTCAGATGCACGGCAGCGCTCAGAAGAGGCTCGTCAATGACATCGTCGTCGACGATGCGGGATAGGCGGCGGCGACGCTGAATGGACTCCAGAAACGGCGACTCGTCGAATGTCCGTGATCGCCAGTGGCTATTATCGAGGGAGATCTTTTGCAGCTTTCGGCAGACGAGCTGTAGGCCGGGGAAGTCGTGAGGCTCGAGAACTGGGAAACCCGATTCCGGGCCTTGTCAGCTGCAAAATCTGGGGTGCAGAGCCAAGACGGAGAAGCAGAGCGGAACTTACAGGACAGGACGCGCAGCAGTATCTCGTCCGGAAGCTCGTCGAGCCTCTTCGGAGAGTATCGCGACGCCATTGTGGGTACGGATGTTGGGGAAGCGTCCGGAGACTCATGCGAAGGGTACTTCTTTTAGCCCTGAGTTTCGGGGTGGCAGAGGGGAGCCCGGACAGGATCCTGGGAGAAGAGTGGAGGGTCGAAGGATGATCCTATCGCTATCGTTATCGGTATTCCTGGCGCCCTAGCCCTTTACAGATTAGTGCAGATCCGGGGGTGGACCGGGTAGAAACGCCTGGACTTTTTGGGTGGGTTGCGCTGTCAAAGCTCCAGTTGTTTTGCTCGTCTCGTGCCGTCCTCTCGCTAATTAAAGGTTGTCGCTTCGTCAACAGCACATGCCAATCTGCTTGCTGCTAGCGGCTCTGTGCTCACCTTACACGTTGCGTTGCAGCTTCCAGAGCTTCCTTCATCGCGATTATCAATGACTGGAATTTTTCATGATCCAGACCGCGGGAAGCGGTGAGTCTCCCCCTCGAATGTCTGAAACAGTACAGCTACGTTCTTTCTCCTCCAGACAGCAATCGCGGGTACACAACAGGAGGCCAATCCCGCTCGGCTCTTGAAGCCACTGCAACCGTCGAATCCTTGGCAACGAGCCGATTCCGCATTCCCGTCGTACCTCCACAGCCTGATTTTCCACCGCGACTTGTTTCTACCTTATTGGGCTGCAATTCGTTGATACCAGGGTCTTCGTGTTACCCAGCCTGCAAGAGAGTGTCCGTTGAACGTGAGCGATGCTTGCGCGGCAATGCCATGCTTGCGATCCCTTTCGTTGAGTGGACGAAGTATTCCATGGTTGAAGTCGTTGGTTCAGACTGCGCCTGCAAGGCAACGAGCATCGGCAACATTGACGGGCCAAATGTTGTGAGGGCAACATGTCTCCTGCGACTGTCACCGTACGAAACTCCAGTCACAAGAAGAGAAGCCTCTGAGCTTACTCCAAGATCCAGATAGACTGAAGTGTAGCTAGAGCGGCTTCCGGTAGAGAAGAGGGATGATTGCAAGTCGGGCAGTCACATTTCGATTTCTTTTCTATCTTCTCTCTCGTTGCCTTCGTCTCCCTGCTTGTCGTTGTCCCTCCCGCAAATATCTCCACCTCGATATTTACGTTCTCTTCATTCACCTTGCCGAGGTGTCTGTTGATCACCGATGGACCTCTATGCATTCCAATCATGTACCCGCCGAGAAGATCATAGCTGGGTCGGTCTGCAGCAACCTTGATGATAATCATGACCGCGTGAACATGAGTCCTAGAAAGTTTGAGCCACCCGCGTGGTCCCGTTATGGCCACGCGATCCAGCCTCTGGGGAAAGACGAACTGAACCGAGTGATTCAGAGCCCATGAGTTTATCCATGTCCCCACGTTATTTATACTAAGGCAATTCGACGTAGCGTAACGGCGAACCTTCCTTCTCTGCGACATCGCAAACACGTTCTTCTTCGTTTCGTCACCAAAGTCAGCCAGAGTTGGACTCCTCTATCGCCCGATATCATAAGCAGCCCAATAAATTCACCAAATTCGTCGACGCCGCCAACACATGACAAGGCCAGAGACCAATCTCGGCACTCCCAGACAATGACAACCCCGGAAGTTTTCTTTTACGCAGAGAGATTGACCGAACTGACCAGGCTCAAGTGCTTTCATGGACACCTAGCACCCGTATCCAGGGGCTACCCTCGTCCTGCCTCCTGCCCAAGGTGCTACTACCGTGTCCAAGACATGGCGGAGTTATTCTACCAGACGTGTCCTGGCGATTGGCAGGGCGATGGCGCCTTCCTCAAAGAATGCCTCAAGGCCGCCGCGTGGGGAAATACAAATCCAGACGTCACCATCGACATTGGCGCTTTCGTCTCGTACCGTTGGAAGCTGATACTCCTGGCCGACCAACTGATTAAGGATCTCGGCCTGCCCGTCCCCGGCAACCAGACGTGCGCGATGTGGAACGAATATGTATGGCGAGGGGAGGTTCTCTACAATTTGGAGGGCTTTTGGGAGAAGTATCATTGGGTGTGGGACATCTTCGCCCACGACCATCGCATGCCTGAAGCTTCCCCCGAGCAGGGCCCTGACTTTGAGCGCTTCCGCCGGTACCTGGCTGCGTCTGTTATGCAAGCGGACCTGCCGTTCCAGCCAACTCTGGCCATGATTGATCGAGTCGTGGACTACGTCGGACGCGCGAAGAATGGTGATGCCGACTTTCGGCTACGCTGGCAAAGATTTTGATATTGATCAAGAACAGTAGCAAGTTGGCTCGGTTCACCGTGCTTACCGGAATACGTTCTAAGCAATCGGGCCGTCCTCCTCCCGTCTCTCGCTCTTCCGGAAGCAAACCATCAGGCCCAGGTCGTAGACCACCTTAAGGCATCCAGCACTCACGAAGGCCACCCAGAAGAGGTTACGGTCCACCAACACTCCGACGCCGAGGGGGCCTACACTCTGCGCAGCCGTCTTGAGGACATTGACAAGTCCCATCACTGTGGTTCGTTCCTTGGGTTTCAGAATTCCTGCTACGAAGGCTGCCCTGGGTGCCACATCCATGGACTGGGTTAAAGCCCGCAGAATCAAGAGAACTATCGCAGCGTTGACAGATTGCGGCAAAGGTAGGAGGGCGGTGAATACTGCGGAGGGGAGGTGGGTGAACACCATCGTCTGGTTTGGCTTGTAAGCTTTGAGTTTCTGGGAGGAGTCTTTCTGGGAGCTTGATACTTACGTTGAGGTTACCGATACGCTTCGCCAGAGAGGATGCAACCAAGGTGGTTACCACAGCTAGGAAGCTGCATACGAAGAACATGGATCCGAGAAGGCCGTTGTCCATGTCAAACTTCCACCGGAAGAAGAAGGCAATCCAGGATCTAGGAACACTCAGTTAGCTTCTCATTGACAGCCGAATAGACAAAGTTCACATACTGCGGTGTAAGACTGGAAGCAAAGGAGTCGAGTGCGAAGAGGAGACACAGCGGTATGACAACCGGAAAGCTGCTCTTCTGAATGCCGGGCAGCAGCTTTCGCCTCCAGCCGGCGGTCTCAACCTGTGGCTCGGCTCTCTCTGTGCCGAGAATGGGCCTTGTCTCATCCTCGTCATGAACTTCGGGCTCTGCCTCGGAGTCTTGGCTAAGCAACAGGACTAGAGCGAGCTTGAATACACCCAGCGCCGAATACCCGTAGAAGACTGCTCGATACGCGGCTTCGTCGCTCCACCCGGAGTTACTAGTCAGCGACTGAGCTGTCCAGCCACTCGTAATTGCTCCGACTGCCGTTCCGGCTGCTCCTACGAGGCTGTACCAAGCATACACATCACTTCTGTCCTCGGCGGTAGTCAGGTGGGCTACGATACTCTCCTCAACTGCACGGAATGGACCAATTTCGTTGCCTCTGTGCAAAAGATCAGCTTGTTATTCAAAGAGTCTGAAAACAAAATAGGATCATACCCGGGGCTGATGACTCCAAAGACCGCCGCAGCCAACAAGATCCAGAAGCTGTCACACAGCCCAAACGCGACACCACTGGCGACCATAAGCGCTGCCCCGAACGCCAAGACGAGTCTCCGACCAACTCCATCGGCGCAAGAAGTGAGAACCAGGCTGATGCAAGTATCGCCAACAAGCGTCAATGCCATGAACAGCCCAATTCGTGTGGCTGAGAAGCCTAGGAGTTCGAGGTATGCGACCAGATGCAGGGTCGTCGCGCCGTACGCGAACATGCGGACAAAGCGCTTGAGACATATCAACTTGACATCCTTGTGACACCTGCAAAGGCTTTGTAGGCCGCTTTCGGCAAAGCCGCGGATAAGTAGTTGGCGGAACATCTTTTGGATGCTGAACTGAGGGTGTGACTCGGGGAAGAAACGCGCCTGTCAGGCCGGCAGGGCGAAGTTTGAAGGACGCGCGATGAAGTGGGTCGCGGATTTGATATTTCCGCATTGTCGAGAGATAGGGCGCAGGTGACATACGCATTGAAAATTGACCGATTCCGCCTGAAGATCACTCTTATAAGTCCTAATTTATGAATGCGCTAAATATGGATGTTACTGTCATCGGATAACCCACTCTGCGCGGCATGTTCAAAAGTCCATGTTTTTTTTTGTCAAGGATACTGCGTGGATTGATCGTGACTTCACAATCAACTACATAGCCTAACCATCATAGGAACTGACTACTTTATTGCAGCAAAATTAGGAGATTCGTTGTTTTTTTCAGGGGTGAAAATGCCGTATCATGACTTCACTATTACGCAGACTCCTCCTTTTCGCAAGTTGTGCGTATTATGTATAGCCTCTCCCACATTATGAGAGACGTATTGCAAAGCCTGGAGAAGTCATGGCTTTAGCTAGGCATGCTATGTGAGCTGGTCGTCTGGGCTTGTGTTCGACAAGGTATACGCACAGCGAGAGACGATAATAGACATATCAAAAGCATAAGTAGTAATAGAGAAGGCGATAGACCATAAGCTCTCAAAGACGGTTGCAACTCTAGAGCTGGGCAAACAACCTATATCTCGCGGCTGGTAAAGTCCTTTTATAACGAATTTCAACAGTAAAATATGTTTTGTTGCTTCAACGGGGTCGAAGAATTATTTCAATATGTCTACATAAGTTTTTAACAATGAGATCTAGTGCAAACAACGACTTCTTAGCAGGGATGACTGTGTGAATTCCTTTGAAGTTCCATAGCGGCACTCTGATCCGGAATTCGAACATGGCTTGGTCGTCTCTGACGGCCCTCGAAGTGACCACCGTAAGGTTTAGGGGCTAGAAGTCCCGTAGAAACGTTTCGAGTTGCTGCCGCGTCCAACAATTTTCCGTTCAGAACTGGTTCCATGCGCGAGCCGCTCCTTCTCCCTACTTCTGATTCCATACGATCAATCACGAGTTCCCGATCCGCAACCATCTTGCCACCCCTAGCTACAGAGACGGTTATGCCGGTAAGATCGACGTCATCAGTCCCAATTGCTTTCAACATCAACATCAACCATCTGATTAAGGCTAGGACCACAATCTCGGGAATTCTCCAAGCTACTTGCTTTGAAGCGGTTGATTCGGTTGATATGATGTGGTCACTGTCGTTGACGAGGGTCTCATCGCCGCTTAATGAGTTGCTGCTACATTCCGACTGAGGAATTTGTAGGGCTGGCGGCCGTGTGGTTCCCTGCAACAAAAACTCCTCCAGCTCGTTGATGTCATTCGAGGCTTCCTCCAAACTGTTGAAAGGGGTCTCGTCTGCATCGCGTATTGGCTCCGAAGCCACTGGCTCGAAAGTCGCCTGAGTAGGCCCCGGCATCTCTACAGGGATCGCCTCAAGATTTATCCTCTGCATATCCATGTTGAGACCAAATGCCAACTGGTCAAGCTCCTCCCTGAAGTCGTTCCGTGCTGTTGAGAGATCGATTTGCGTGACCATAACGTTTTCTTTGTCGCCGGGTCTCGAGCAAAACCTGAAGAATCGTTGCTTCCCCCGTTCGGTCTTGCTCTTGAGGCGTCCCCCGATCTCGACGCACATATTAACTGGTAACCCGGTGTGTTCGAATGCGAAAGCTGTATAAAATACGTGATTGTGTTGCGGCTTCCTCTCGGTTTCATTCTCTGTAAGCTCCCATTCGAGACAACGTAAGCCTATGCCGCCCTTGGCTCTTTTTTGTGTGCCTTTGAAACTCCAGCTGTCAACGTATTGACGAGTGACGTTTCGGCGAGTTCCCATCCCACCCATTTCAACTATACCTCCAGCTCCTATGGTGGGTTGAAATGACCTCTCGTTGGTTTCGAGGGTCATGCTCTGAGGGCCGTAAATGGCATGAGGTCCAAAGTACTCCGTAATTTGCATAGCGTGTTCCGAATCCAGTGATGTCCGGACAGGGTTCCTGCGACTGAACCTGCCATGGGGGACAGGCGCGTCTTCGCTCAGTGTAATGAGAATGTTGGCATTGCTGAGCATATGTCCCGGGGGCTGATTAAAAGAAATGTCGATGTACACAATGCCCGCTGGGTTCTGTTCCGGTCCTAACACACCCCATCGTGCCTGTTTCCAACGATAATTGCACTCGATCTCGACTTTGCCAATGCTACTCCGACGTAATAATGTATGGTCCCCAACGGCTTTCTCTTCATTGAACCGTTCGAAGTCGGACCGGCCAAATCGTCGAATTCTCATCCCAGGCCGATACAGATTGCGTCTGACGTTCGACCTCGGTTCAAGGGCAACATCTGCCATTCTTGACGTGTGGGCGGGCTGTCGATACTCGTTCTCGTTCTTGTGATTCTCACTGCTCCTGTTTGAGTTGCCCCTATTGCTGTTATTCGCTGCCTTCTTGAAAGCAACAGGGTCAAGGGGCATCGGAGGGCCGCCCATGATGCCGTATCGATATGCCGTATTGGCAAATTTAGCTTTGGTTATTTTGTGCTTCGAAGTAGCTGCAACGTTGTAAACGGTCTAATTGATGGAAAGAGTCAGGTTGGGGAATTTTTGAGGTAATTTCAAGCAGGCTGTGAGGTTTGTCAAACATTGCTGTTGGGAGCCCTCAATTATTATTAGGTATGCGCAGTTACGGCGCAGGCCTGCATGCGAGACGCCCTTCGCTCATTTGGGAAGCAACTCTCCACTCCTTGTGCACCCTTGGCTATTCGTACATGAAGCTTTACCGACAATGGACGTTGGCTCTCAGAGCCTTGTCTTGCGCACCACATCAGCCGTTAGCGAAGACTTCACATCCGTTGGCATCCGAAGCAAGCGTGGCCCACTAAAGTGGCTGGGTTCACTGCATGTAAGATAAGCTGCATGCCCTCAGTCAGGTGGAACAGGTGCCTTTCGCAGCTCGAATATCTGCAGCCTGATTATGCTCATGCAAGCCGTTTTGATTCCAGAGATCTGTCTGCTTGAACACCCGCATTTGGGGCTGCTCCCGTCGTCGTGGTTCACTTCGCATATATAAATCTTCATGCTGCACGGGATACATTCCCCTTTGAAGCCAACATGCAAAGCAACTTACCAGGGCCGCAGCAGGAAAAGAGCACAGAAGCACCACTCGATGAAAACGAGCAATTGAATCCACTCCCCGTAAGATCACGGGCAAAACGAGTTCAATTTCCATCAGAACCACCCACAAAGCTAGCACGACCAGACTTATCCTTTCTCAACGACGACCAACATGGGCAGAAACGTCTGTCGGTTGCGGTTAGAAAAGAGCAACCACGCTCTCGTCGTGACAATCAACAAACATCTCAAACCGATATAGATGTGCCGGGGCCAAACCACACATCGAACGTCTTCTACTGGATGCCCGCAAGAACCTCCAATCATGCGTCTTCCCAGCCGGCATTCAAGCCAACGAGCCCGCCACGATTCGAACGTGAGCCCGTGCGTGTCGAAATACGAGACGGGGCACGGAGAAGACACGACATGGAATCTGAGGAAGAACTACACTCCAGCAAGCCATCCCCTCCTGTGGACGTTCATGTCGACCCCAAGAATCGTCGAGATATCACATTGCACTTGGACATGGATGTGACTGAAGATATAGAAGAAGAGCTCGAACAGTTCTCGAAGTTAAGACGAATCGGGCACTTCAATGAGGCAAAAAGATATTTCGAGGAGCACCTCGAAAACTGCATCGACAACGCATACGTCTTGGACCAATATGGTCAATTCTTATTGGAGATTTCAGACATCCATACGCTCACCAAATTGGCAAGGGAGTACCCGCCAGGAAATGTAGAGAAGGTCGCATCTGCCAACTGGTTTCTTGTTTGCGAGCGAGCCCTTCAATTGAATGACGATGTTTGTCCGCAAGATAAATTGCAACAGGCGCCAGACCTTCGGAAGTTGCTTACAAACTGGCCAAAACTGGACTCTACTGAAGTAAGTTCCCTGTCTGATGCCCAAGTCAAGATTGTCTGACCAATGTTCAGTTGCAATGTCTCATCAACGACCTGCGTGTTGTCAAACACGGGGAGCATACCGCAGAAGAATATGGTGAGCTGTACGCACATCTCCACCATGAAGATCGCATTTGGGACTTCAGAGACCTGTGTTACGGGCTTCTGGCTACCAAGTCGCCAGAGGAAACGATTCATTGCCTTTTGAACAAATATTTGTCCTCGCAGAACCAGAACACAAAAGGGGCTATTCAAGTTATTCAACAGCACTGGGCAGGAGCTGCCGGAGATGAAGTGACATCCTTAGCTTTATTGGATATCTTCACAGCGTTCGCCATGTGGGCCCTGGCCCAAGCCATCAAGCGGTATGTCCATGGAGATTCATTGGAGGACTCCGATGAGTTTCGGGCCGCCAAAATGTATCTAAGGATCTCCCACGACTACGCCACTGAAGTGCTGCGCCAGAACCCCCTTAATCTGAAGTCTCGGCCCTACCTGCAATGGGTTGCTACCAAAGTCCTAGTGGAGAAGAACACCGATACAGCCTGCTGTGGGCAAGCTGCTCTTACGAAGTATCTTTTCAAGCTGCGAGGGGGAACCCAGATCAGGGCGGGTGCATTTCGTGGACTTCTAGGCTTTTATGACACTGTTGTCTACACGCCAATCGAAGACGAGGCTCCGGAATGGCAGCCGGATGCTTCAGTCACCTTTTCATACGGGCAGGAGAAGGCGCTCCTGATGGTTGCAAGAAATGCGAGAGACCTTGGCGATGTCTTGTTGGAAGCTGCTTGCCTACAGCAGCTGGGATACTCATCACCGAATCCTGGGGGATATTCGATCGACTTGTGCAACTTATGGCGCACCGTGGGGAATCGGACGGCTCTATTGAGGGCCTACCTTTATCGTTACATATTGAAGCGATCCCCAGACGGTAGCAATGATTTGCGGAGCGACCTTCTAGAGTTTGGAGATGCTGAATGTGACCCCAACCTACAGGAAGCCCGGTTCATGATTCTCCGGGCACTGTCAACTAGGTCATACGAAAAGACGGTCTATCTCAAAAGGGCACAAGATCTGAATGATGAAACACAACATAACCCGCATGACGAAGAGACGCCTCCGCAGCATCCACACGTCGAAAAAACACATCCAGCTAAGAAAAACGCTCGACAAACCAGCAATCACGCCATAAAAAGCAGCATTCACTACGGCAATTCCCTCTCATTTGAGCTTCTCTCCAGCGATGATGAAGACGCTGATAACGATAGCTCGTCGTCTGTGGGAAGCCAGAGGCAAAGCCTACGTACTGTCAGAGGGCCAACAACGAGCGAAGAAGAAACTTCTCCAAACAATGAACTGATTTTGTTAAAGGAACAACGTCCAAGAAGACTGATATCAGCAAACCTTTCCAACGAGGCTGATCAAGCTGAATTGATGCCTCAGAAGCCTGCGACAAACATCTTGCCCGCAAGGCGTGACTCTATGGAGACGAGCAAGGACATTGAGCATAGAGAAAAGAGTGTTCTTGACCCTGATAGTCGGCCCCTGATGAACAGGTTCAGATATAGTGAGAGCAACATCGACTCAGTGGACGATCAAAACGAGAAACAACGCGAGGAAGAGAGAAATGGTCAGTCACTCGCGTTTGATATTGCTTTGAAACACTCAATTATCAATGAGCATAATTTGATAAAAGGTCTTCTAACAGTATACTCAGACAATGCGGATATCGTTGGGAATGAGGTCGAGAGTCTTCATCTTCACGCCTCTGATGAGGGGAACCCGGACGATTTGTAAAGTACGGGTCCGCAGGTTGGTGATCATGAAGACTCTCCCAAGCTCAATTACGAGTATTTTTACCGTTCCCGTTCGCCATGCCTTTATATCTGGTAATAAAGTGAAGAGCGAGGATCGAAAGCAAGATGATTAAAACAACTAGATTTCGGTGTATGATTTCCTGTACTCGTCTAATTAACTTGCAGACCAATTATTTCATCAGATACAGCTCATATAATTTAATACACTCACCTTGACCCCTTTCCCGCGGTCATATTTCCATCCAATGTAGCCCGTATGTATGGGCAGATGTCAAGTATGATAACCTCATCGCAGAAGGGTATGTCGAATTTGTCTGGGTAGTTCATCAAGAAGTTGCGAGCTAGGGGGGCTGGTTTCTCGCGCCCTCGCCCCCTCCTCTGCCTGGCTGTGTTTTGACTCTCGTGGTCATGGGTCCAGGGATCGAAAAGATCGTTGAAGCTGTCAAGGCAGGCAAAGGCAAGACTATAAGTTCCAAAACCTAATGATCTGTCGAAGTTCCTACGGGTCAATAGACTGGGTGTTGGATCACTAGTCACATAATCCTTACGGCGGACGACACAATGCTGAAGGGAAGTTGAACTGGGGTGAGGTATCCGTAATGAGGATCGCCTTAAGAGACGCTATGGGAGAAGAATGGTACCCATGTGCTGCAATGCAACCGACCCGCTTAGCTTTATTTGAGCTATCTTCGCCGAAGCTTTCCCGGGGAAGATATTCAAGGATATGTTGCGCATCGCGAACCAGGCTCACGCAAAACGATGGCTCTAATCGCATTTAGCCGTCATAAGATGACCCGAAGGAACCCGGCATCGTCGAGCGGTGGGAAACCGAATGCGAGTTAAAAACACCATTGGTAGGCCATTCTCCACAATTGGTGAGGTTCCCCTCATAGCCGCGATAGCTGCAGCCGAACTGGCGAGTCACAACCCCAGTAAATTGCCTCAGTCAACTGCCGATGGGAATCTGTGCCGGGAAACGTCTTCCATAATGGCAGTGAGAGACAAAAGAGACGATTTCACTGATTTAAGCGGTGAGATTTCGCTCATAAGTAGCAATGTTTTCCTACGAAACCTTCATTCTAGTATTCCGATGGCTGTTTGACGAGATGTGGTCCACCGCTGGTTTGCTACAGACGCTTTCTCTTTGCACGATAGTTGCAGGCGGCGCCTCGCAGGAGCCGTTAGCACAGCTTAAGAATGGCACCTATGTGGGCCGGTATTCTGCAGAATACAATCAAGACTTCTTCCTTGGCATACCCTACGCGCAGCCTCCAACTGGGGACCTGCGGTTTCAGCAAGCGCAATCTTTGAACGAAACTTGGGAGGGCACCCGCCAAGCTTTCAACTACTCATCGTTATGCGTTGGATACGGTGTATTTCGTCCCACTTACCTACATGTTGGTTATCAAGATGGCTGACAAGAGCGTATCTAGCTCGACCAAACGTTCTACAGTCAGTCAGAAGATTGTCTTACACTCAACATTGTGCGTCCTTCAGGGTACTCTGAAAGCACTCTTCCAGTCGGTCTCTGGATTCATGGCGGTGGCTTCACCAATGGCGGTGGCGGCGACCAACGCTACAACCTCTCTTTTCTCGTAGACCAATCGGTCAAGATCGGGAAGCCATTCATTGGCGTCTCAATCAACTACCGCCTACACGCATGGGGTATGTTCTGCACAAGATATTCACCGAAAACCCAATCCTAGACCTTTGCTAATGCGCGGCCATTTTCAGGCTTCTTGAATTCCAATGAATTTGCTAGCGAGGGTTTGACGAACATCGGCTTGAGGGATCAGCGCCTCGCAATGCATTGGGTGCAAGAGAACATCGCGGCATTCGGAGGCGACAGTACTGAAGTCACCATATTCGGAGAATCGGCTGGTGGTGCAAGTGTCGGTTTGCATTTGACTGGGTACGCCGGGAGAAACGACAGCCTCTTTCGAGCGGCGATACTGCAGTCTGGGAATCCCATTTTCTACGCAGCCCAGAATGGAAACAATGTCTACCAGTCCCAATTCGACGAAGTTGTTGCGAAGACAGGGTGCAACGGCACGTTAGACAGTGTACAATGCTTGCGGCAAGTTTCCTTCGAACAGCTGAACGCCACTTTGGGTGACTTGTACTTGGCGCACGGAAACCTGGGCCCGATCATTGATGGAGATATCGTTCAAAACTACGGCAGCGTACACCTACAGCGCGGTGAGTTTGTACGTGTACCAATTATCACCGGAGCGAACAGTGATGAAGGGGCCTCTCTCGGCCCGCAAGGCATCAACACCACTGAAGACTTTAAGGCCACGCTCGCGAGCCTTCCATCATCTTTTCAGGATGAGATCTTACAGGCGTATCCTGATGATCTCTCAGTGAATGTGGTCGCAAGTCTCGGGCAACAGCGTCCAGGACCACCGTATGGAGCGCAATTCCGCCGTAGCGCTTCATACTGGGGCGATGTCTACTTCATCGCTGCACGTCGACAGACAGCCACGACATGGGCTAGTAACGGACTAGACGCCTATTCCTATCGGTTTAACACTATTCCGCATGGTGTTCCGCCTGAAGTTGGCGCAGGTCACTTCAAAGAAATCGGATATATGTTTCGCAACTACCTAGGTGCTGGGTACAGGCCGGACATTTTGCCATTTGACGGGATGCCAGAGAGCCACTTTGAACTGGCAAGGTTTATGTCGAGCAGCTGGGCGAGTTTCATAAGCGATCTTGATCCGAATCCCTGGTCAGGAAGGCCGGCGAATGTTGATGCTTGGCCGAAATACTCTGTGGAGAGCTCGACAAATCTCGTTTTCGATGCCAATGTCACAAGTCATACAGAGGTAGACGACTTTCGAAAGGAGGGCATTGAATTGATCAACCAACATGCATTGGAAGTATATCATCGGTAGCTTTAGAAACTAAAAGCAACACCTCGTGGTTGAGGTCTCCGGCCAAACTCGACTACGGCAATGTAAAGAAGACTAGCTCAATTCTTCCGCAGACCTGTTCCTCCGATCACTTTCAACATTTCAGTTTGGGAACAGATCGAGTTCTTGAGCCCGAGGTAACCACCAAGCTCGAGATTGCTGTGCCATCTCTACTTCAATTCCTGAGGAAGATAACTCGAAGTGAAGGTCCATAGTGTCAAAGTACTAGAGTATACTTTACTGCTTTACAGACTCCTTCAAGTCACTACGCTCCTTAACCAAGCTAGCCATAACCTGGCCTCCCTCAGAGTCTAGGCTCTGAAACCCACGAATCACCCCCTCCCGGTCACCTTTCCGCATCTCCTGGCTCATCTTGAACTTTCCTTCCAAACGGTCAATGACAATTTCAATGCCAATGATATTCTTCTTCATTAGCTCAATGTACCGCTCAGGTGCGTCCGCCACCTTCCACGGTCCGGGCCTGTCCCCCTTTCCCGTATAATCCATGACCGAAGTCTCTGTGTGCCGAGACAGATCGTCAATCTGCTTCGAAAGAAAGCTTGACGCTGTGTCTGACTTGGAGTCAAAGTGGATGGTAGCGCGACCGTACGCTTGAACAGCGGCGTAGTTCCATGTAGGAACTACCTTGGCAGTCGTGGGCTTGGTCGGTGTAGAACTTGGGCGTGACGTAGTGATGAGGCGCGGCGGTGAAGAGGACGAGGACTTCTTGTTCAAGCGTGGTTGAGAAATCGTTCGAGGATTGGACGGCTTCGATCATTGCCTTGCTTTGGGGGTTTTGGCGAGCCAAGTGTCCCCTCAGCCGACCCAGCTCTTCATCGTCTGACTCATCGTCAACGTCCAGGACGAAAGGAACGTGGCTAGCTAGGATGAGAGGATGGTTGTCGGAAGGGATGGCGGTTGTGAGGACGCCGAGAGGGTAGTCGCGGATCAGTTGTCGCAGGACAGGAATGCGCGCTTCCGCGTGAGCTGATGAAATGAACATGATTGTAAGTTTGTGAAAGAAGTGCTGGATGGTTGGAGACGCATGCAATGTGAAAATACCAAGGGGCTTACAGGCTTTTTAAACTCTGCCAAGATAGTTGAAGGCCTCAATTCTGCTTTGTGAATCATTCGTAATTAGAAGTCTATGACTCGACAGTCGAAGTAGATCTGCCAATGCTGCCAAGAAGGAATTGATCTGGTGTAAGGAGAATTGCCGCGGTCCTACCACATGCAACCAGAGGTCCCGGCCCGACGTGGAGTGTATGACCGACGAAGACCCATACCTGCCGCCGCCGGCCGGCGGCGGGGGCAAACGCTCAATTTACGGAAGAACCGAAAGCGTTGACTCCGTAATTTGCCGTGCCACTGCTACTGATTCGAGCTACCGGTCACTAACTTTAGTCCCCGGGCATTATACTTGAATTTAGCTTCTCTGCGGAGCCACAGCGGTAAAGCCGCCGTGTCCCGCCGGCTCCCGCCCGGCCTACAGCTTGCTTGTCAACTCCGGGAGGCTCATGTAGCGCGTACGCCCTACGTGTGGGGCAAATGCGAGCAACAGCACATGCTGTGACTCTTGTTTTTATTAGAGACCAATCAGTTGTGAAGCCTCAAAGTTTAACTGGATGTAATCGCCTATCAGAGGCTGTGAAGCCATAAAGGCGTTTATGACACAAGATTATTTCTGTATTAGCTTGGTAGTGGGACGTGCTGTGACCAAACAAAACGTTGGGCTCTCCGAGCTCTCCTATTCATCGGGCTACTCTCGCTCTCCGACCAATGCCGAGAAGCCTACGCCCATGACCGTCTTCAAAGTGCAACACGCAACAGTTGCCGTAAGTTGCAATATCTCACGGCGTCTAAACCCAATGTGTTCAACGTGGAGTTAGAGCTCGGCCGTAATCACAGAATGACTCACATAACTCCGAGGTTTTGCTTGTATGCGGCGACAACCGTTCCGCAATGGTCTCTCATGTTCAGCCAATATCTTTGTGGGACAATGGAATTTGAACGAAACTTTCTGCATGCTGCCGGGCTTCAAAACTAATCAAAACTAATCCTTGCTCGCCGGCGGCCAAATATCTCGACTGCGGCACTGCTCCGCAAGAATGAGTTGTCAAACAATTTTCCATGAGACCCCCATACTGATTATGAGCATCGAGGCACTAACAAGATAAAAGCTGCGATGTCAAAGACTCAGCGAGCGCAGGATACACGTAGACTCTACCATTCGTCATTCGGTTATACCTAGGCTTCGTTTCTCGACCCCCAAACGCCAAAACAGACCTCTTTCTGACCCTTACATCTTGGATCTAATTCGTGCGAAGACGTAATGACGAGATCCGAGTTGCAAGACGACTGTATTTCCTCCGACCGGGGCGGCATAATCGAAAACATCCACCGCATCCATGCCGCAGTCACTGACGCCAGCGGCAACCTCCTGTATGCCGTAGGCAGACCGTCACGCATGACACTTGCACGATCAGCCGCGAAGCCAGTTCAAATACTTGCTCTCCTCGAGATAGAAGGCTTCGATAGGTTTGGATTCGACGATGCGGATCTAGCGCTTATGTGCTCATCACACAGCAGCGAGGAACGCCATGTTCAGCGAGGGCGTTCGATGCTTGCTAAGATCCAGGCCGAAGAAAAGCAGATGCGTTGCGGTGGCCACGCGGCCATGTCCGAGGTTGTCAACAAGGAATGGATTAGGCAATGTTTTGTTCCCGGCCCTCTTTGCAACAATTGCTCTGCAAAACATGTTGCCATGCTTGCGGGCGCCAAAGCACTTGGCAATGATGAAGAGTACCACTTGCCCCAGCACGAAGTCCAGAAACGCGTCAGACGCACCTTCGATGAGCTGAGCGGTCTGGGCCCGAGCGAGATCAAATGGGGAACTGATGGTTGCAATCTTCCTGCACCGGCTCTACCTCTCAGCAATATCAGTCATCTCTATGCGGTCCTCGCGGACGCAGCTGACCTAGTTGCTCGCGATAGCTCCTCGGTCAGCCAGAGGACTAGACACTTGGCAAAGATATATGAAGCTATGTGGCGCTTCCCAGAGATAGTTGGAGGTGAGGGACGCTTCTGTACAGAGCTGATGCTCAAGTACGAAGGCGCGGTCGTTGGCAAGTTAGGGGCGGATGGCTGTTACGGTGTCGCCGTAAGAGAATCGGACGATACTCGGCGGTTGGGAGCAACCTCTGGCATCGGAATTGCTGTGAAGGTTGAGGATGGCAACGAAGAGATTCTTTATGTTGCTGTGATGGAAACACTGAAGCAGCTTGGTATTGGTTCAGAAGAGAAGAGACAGGCACTTGCGGGTTTCCAAGACCTTCAGCGAGTAAACACTGCAGGCGTTGTAACGGGGAAAGTATCTTGCTCTTTTAAAGTGCGAAAAGCTTAGAAATAGGAAGAACAGATATACGTAGGCTATTTAGTCGGGCATTTCAGAGGTTTTATTTGTCTCGGTAGGAGCCAAATCCACACCGCCTCTCGCGAAAATCACGGCCTGAAGACCATTCGTTGACGGATGACACGACATACAGCGCAGAACCTCCTTCAGCGGCACCGAAGATTTTAGCATCTCAAGCAAGATCTAGATCAGGACATTTCTTTGCGTCTTCGTAGAAAGTACCACCAAATTCTTTGATCAAACGACACCGCTCTTCCATATCCTTCGCCAGCTTGATAATCCCCGTCCCCATCTTGATCGCTTCTATTCGAGGTTTCGTAAGCACCCAGACACCGCCGTTCGCGGGCCATCCGGCGATGATGACTGGGTCTTGCAAATGCTTCTTTTCCTTCGCCCCAAAGAGCTCAGCAACGGCAAGAGCCTGGTCACTCTTCCACCAAGTCGCGCCCAGCTTGCGCATTCTTTCACCAGCGCAGCATACCAACCAAGCCGAATCAATTAATCAATTAATTAACTAATTAAATTGAGGCTATTCAGATAGTCAATTAATTAAGCTAATAGCACTATTAGCTTAATTAGGCTTAATAAAACGATATTACTTAGAAGAATAAAAATCCAGCTTCTAAACTAATTAGAATTTTTAAAAGATTTAATAAAAAATAAAAAAGTTAATTAGATATTCTTTTTTAGTAGCTTAAAGTTATAACTTTTTAAGTTTTTATATTATAATTAATAATTTAAGTTAGTTTTAAACTAATATCTCTATAATTCCTTATATAGTAGATTTACTATTAACTTATTAGGTCTTATTATAATATATTTCTAAAAAAAAAAAAAGTAAGTAGTTATTAATATTAGTTTAATAATACTTTTATACTAATAAATAATAAAATAAAGCTAAATACTTCTTAATAATAAGGTTAATATTATTAAAAAGTATTAGAAATACTAAAAATATACTTTTTATTATACTATTAGATTAATATATTTTTAGCTTTCTTATTAAAGTTTAAAAAAAGTTTATTTTTTAACCTCTTTATTAGTTTTTAAAAATAACCTTTTTTTAATATTACTATTAGTATTACTATTATTATTATTACTACTATTATTATTATTACTATATCTTAAAATCCTATTTATATATACTTCTTAATATCTTTTTTAACCTCTTACTTATTATTAAGATACTTCTATTAGTTTATAATTAATATATTAATTACTTTATTAAGTATAAGGTATTATCTCTTTATAGAATTACTACTTAGATTTATATATTATTTATTACTACTAATAATATATTAACTATTAACTTAGCTATATATAATACTCTTAAAACTTTATTTTATATTATATAGAAAAGTTAATAATTTATTAATATTAATACTATTTTAAAAAAAAGGAGTTAAAGTTATACTTTTTAGATTACTAATAAAAATATATTTATCTTTAAGATTATACTTAATAGTATAAAAAGAAGTACTTATTAAGTTTATTAATATTATAATAAAATAAGGACTCTTAATTAACTATTTAATATTATAACTATTTCTAACCCTATTTAATACTTTAAGTATAATTACTCTATTTTTTAAAATATCTATAAAATTAATAATATATCTATTAATAATTCTAATAACTTTAGTACTCTATCTAAGTATTATTAATCTCTCTCTATTACTATATTTAAGTAGAAAACTATATAAATTAAAAAACTAGCTATAAGCTTCTTTATTAATATTAATAACTTTTTTATAATATTTAGTAATTAGTATATATAGTATATACTTACCCTATTTAATTATAATATTAACGTTTAGATATATTAGTTAAAAACTAATTAGAAGGATTAATTTTAATAACTTTATAACTTTAAGAAGTAATAAATTAAATAAGAAATATAAAAAGCTCTTATAAAAGTTTATATATTATTTAACTTATAGATTTCTCCTAATTAATATACTATTATTACTATCTTTAGCTACTTTATTAACTAATTAAGTAGATAAATATAATATCTTTTAGGTTTCTATTATTAACTTAATACTTACTTTAGTGAGAATATTACTATTATAATATATATAGTTATAAGAAATTAATACTTACTTAATAAGATTAGCGTTATAGTTTTTAATAATATTAATATTAATAATATTTATATTAAGGCTTTATATCTATTTATTTTATATTTAAGGGTAGGTATGAAGGTACTTCCCCCTCTGTTTAATCTATACTATAGGGCTTATAGCCCTAATACTCTATACTAATACTTAATACTAAGCTACGCGCTGCTAAGAAACCCTTTATAGGAAGAAAACTCAGGCCGCAAGCGCAGTACACGATAAAGTAGATAATACGTACACTATACTATATAATGATTAGCTAGAGGCCGTTAGTGCCCCACTATATATATAGGTCCCTTAAGAGAGGGACCTATATTTTACAGCAGGTCCTTAACTAATCAGAAGAGAGGAAAAGGGGTTCCTGTAGCTAGGATTAAACTAACACCTATACGTTTAGGTAACGCATAGGCCTGCTAGGCGCATACCACTGCGCTATACAGGGTTATTTTATATTTATATATAGAAATAGACACTTAATATTATTAAATTTAATACTATAGCTATATTTTTAACCTTATTAGTTATATTATTATTTATAGAGTTAATAAAGAGGTATTTAAATAAAAATCTAACTATCTTATTAATATTAATAAGATCTAAGAGGACCTAGCTTATTAAAGGACTAAAGGACCTATTAGTAAGCTTTAGAATATTATTAAGTATATTAAATTATTATTATAACGCTTAGAAATTTTCTTATTTATTAATAATAAAGCTAATAATAATAAGTATACTTTTACTCTATAAGAGGAGTTATTATAAAAGCTAAATCTAATATTAAGTAATACTACTTAATAAAACTTAATATATAATATAATTTACTATACCTTACTTAAATATAGCTAGATTATTAGTTATATATATTACTTTTTAGAACTTAAGAATAAGGATAATTATATCCCTAATAAAGATATCCTAATTAATAAAGATTAATAAGTTCTTATTAAGTTAAATAAGATATTTAAACCTCTCTATTTATAAACTAAGTAATATAAAAGCTAAAGTAAGAGTAATAAGTATAGTTAACTTTAAGAGATCTTAATAAGCTTTAAGTATTTTTTAGATTAATTTAAGGATTAATATAAGCTTTATAATACTTCTACTTAAGAAGAGATTAATTTTATAACTTTATAAATATCCTAAAGTTTTTTATTATAATAATCTTAATTAATAAAAGTATTATATTAATTTAGCTAAGTATTAATTTTATAAACTTTATTAATTAATAGTATTCTTACTTATTTATAGTTTAAATATATTACTATATTATTATACCTCCTTTAAACTATTAACTTTACTTCTTATATATTTATATATTTATTAATTATTAATAGCTAGTAAATACTTAATAATTACTATAAAAAGCTTAGAGAATCTCCTTTTTATATTACTACTATAATATTATACTTTAATAGAGGTTTATAATAGCTTAAAAAGTATTAGAATATTTAAAAGACTTATAAGTAGCTTTAAATTACTAAAAAAGGTTTTTAAGAGTATTAAAAGTAATAATATATTAAGATAGCTATTTATATTAATAGATTAGTTTATTAAGAGTTTCTATAAAAGCTATTTATATTAATTATAATACTTCTAAAGCTTAAAAACTCTAATTATAATTAATAGTTAGATAGTAGTTTTTATAATACTATTATTAATAAAGTTAATAAGTTAGAGAAATATTTTACTTTTTTAGTTATTTAGCTTATTAATAATCCTATTTAGTAGTAGATTTTATATTAATAGACCTTCTTAACGCTTAATAAACTTACTTTTAATATTTTTACTATCTTAATAATAATAACTAACTATAAAAAAGTATTTAACTTTACTAAACTAATATTAATATTATAAAAACTATTAATAAAGCTATTATTATTTAAAGAGATATAGTATTTTTAGAATTAGGTTTAAAATAGTAGTATTACTATTAATAAGTATTATTTTAAAAAGAAGGGTTAATAGAAAGTAAAATAATATTAAAATACTATATAATATAAGTTTCTAGCTTATTAATATATTATAAAAGCTTTACTAACTTCCTAAATAGGTAATTTTATTAAGATTAAATCAAAATAGTTAAATTAAGTAAGATTTAAGTAAAAAATCAGTTAATTAGTTAAGTTAGAGGCCTTATCTTAGCTTAATTAATTAGTATTCAGCGCTGTCTTTTATAATAGGCGTCCTCTTCCTCTTAATCATCTGAGCGTTGAGAGGGCTTGAAGCGATCCACTTCGAGAAAATCGAGCTTAAGGCGGACGCAGTCCCTGAGAACGTATGTGCCGCCCTTGCTTGGCCAACCTTGGACCCTTGCGCCCGGGCCCAGGCCGAATGATGACCGCACCTTAGAGCTTTCGGGATCCAACTCAATGTAAGTTTCTCCACCCATATTGTAGGTGTAGTCTTCCTGACGAAGGATATGGTCCGGAATACTGTTTTTGGCACCCATGGCCCAAATTTCAAATGAACGAGTCTTCTGGAAAAAGTAGTTGGAGGACAAGAAAAAGCACGCCCCTAGCCAGGCGGCAACAATCGTACCGAGAAGTATGACTGACATTTGCATTCGTGAAAATAAAGGTTGGCGTAAGGCTTTCCGACCTTTCTCTCCCGACATGATTCCCGGAGGTTGGTTGTTGCCTGATTGTTTGTTGGAAAAACACGTGAAATGTCGGGTGATATGGCTGTTGGTTCCCTTACTGGGATGCCACGCAGGTGCAATGCTCTCTTTTCTCCTCCCAACCCCTGGTCTAATAAGAAGTTTATCAAATTGCAGCATTGCGACAATTCACCACGAAAGACTACCTTGTCGACCAACAGATTCACTTGGGATGCAGCCATAGTGCTTCTACGACGATCTCGTCAGCGAGCAGCAATGACAACGCGACCACCATCTGCCATTCTGCCTGTCCAATTGCAATGCAGAAAACAAACTCGCTAAACGCACGAATCCTGTTAATCAAATTAATCTCGCTGCTTACTCTAATCAATCTTGGGGGCGAAAACAGCTGAGACAGACGCCTTGCGAGTAACGAATCAGAGATGGGTTTTGAGAAGCGGGGAATAGATGCGGCACAGCGCGTCTTTCGAACAAGGCTGAGCCTTACTGAACGCTGCAATGTTCCAGCTTCATGCCTTTCACGTGTTCCTGGCCGCTCAGAAATGAGTCTATCTCTTCCATCCAGCTCAACAAGTCAGGCTCTGTCCCGTCGATCGCCAAGTCCAGGTGGCAGAGCCGACCCAGCAACAGGTCTCGAAATTGCTTTATCGCAGTTCGGGGCAATCCTTACGGATGATGAGCGCAAAAGGCTCCAGGCACAGAAGTCGGGGTTAAATGACGCAGATGCTGCTTTCAAGTTCACCTTGGAATTAGATGAACTAGACCCGGTTCGGAGGGGCCGAGTCGTCGCTACCAAGCTCTGCTCACTTTTGCAGACTGTTCAGAGCTTTGGACAAGTCATTGAGACTTATGTGTCCTCAAACCCTCAGGTTGCGGCTCTGATCTGGGGAACCGTGAAACTGACATTCATGGTTAGTACTGCATCGTCATTATATAACTGATACTGACTTGAAAGGTCTTGATCAACTTTACTACTTATTTTCAAAGGTTTACGGACCTCTTATCTGGGTTCGATCACCTGATACCGCAGTTCACTGCCTACGAGAAACTCTTTCCGAACTCGGATCAACTCAAGAAATGCATATGCAATTTCCATCTCGCCATTGTCACTTGCTGCACGGAGATTGTGAACTTGACTCGACTGCCATGTATGTAAAAAAGACAAAATCGATCATGAAGATGACTAAACTCCATCTAGGGCACGAAAAGGCTTGGGCGGCATTGACAGCGTCGTTTGAGGCCAAAATTAGGCCTTCTGTCGACAACATCCGCGCTGCGGCCAACCAAGCGAAGGACGAGATCGAACTTATAAAGACCCAACATGATCAACTAAGTCAAGTTGAGCACCGCAAGAATGAGAAAAATCTTTTGAACCGGGCTTGGAAATCAAATAAGAATATCGAGAGGGTAAAGAAAGACGGCGAAGCCCGGCTCAAATGTGCGATTCTCTCCATCACTGCACGATTATAAACTGATATCAGGAATCTCTTCTAGTACACAAGTGGCAATCACTGCTGAAGAAGCTGCCTTTGTCCAACTATGAATCGGCATATCGAAACGCCAGATCTAAGCGCCACAAGGGAACAGCCCAATGGGTTTTTGACACCCAGCAATTCCAGGACTGGTATCGGAACGATTCTTCTGCTGTTCTCAATGTTGCGGGCAAAAGTAAGTGTTTCTAACTTTGTCGTTATCCCCAGCCGACTAATAAAGCTCTTCTAGTTGGCTCTGGAAAGACCGTACTCACGTGAGTAGCCTAGCAATTGTATGAGTCTACGGAATACTGACAAAAGAAAAGCGCAAATATCATCGATTACATCATGAGGAAGAAGACAGACAGACAAGCAATTTCGTTCTTCTTCGTTCGCTTCGACGATGTCCATAGCCAAAGTTCCGAGACCATCGTTCGTTCTCTTGTCCATCAAACTGTGGCCCGAGCGTCAATAGACGACAGCATATTGGAGCTCATGCAGGAATCCGACGCCCTCATGTTTGACGACGAATCTCTCTTGGACCTTATTCTACACCAGGTCGCACTGCTAGACGACTGTTTTTTTGTCATCGACGGCTTTGATGAGTGTACCTCGACGACCCAATATTCAGTTTTGAATTTCTTATCATCTCTCGGACAGAGATGCTTGAAAGGAAGAATCAAAACAGTCATTTCCGCCAGAGACAGCATTACGGAACTTCTCATCGGCTCTCTGTCATCTGTGTCACGTGTCGTTGTTGGCTCTGACGAGACGAATCGCGATCTGGCTTTGTTTGCTCGAGCAATACTGTGGGAGAAACAGGAAAGGGGAGACTGGAGTGTCGGCGACCCAACCTTGATCGATGAAATACTGCATCTCATCAGTCTTGGAGGTGAAGGAATGTGAGTACACTCATCATCTCATCGGTTTGTGTTGAAATTTAACGACCCAGGTTCCTGTGGGTTTACCTCACAATTGAGGATATCTCCACGAGGAGAAGCGATGCAGATATTCGACAAGCGTTGTTGAACATCCCAAGAAACCTTCCAGACACCTTTGATAGAGTTCTGCAACGGATTGAAGCAAATGGAAACACTGAGATTGTCTGCAGTGTCTTCAAATGGACTGCGGCTGCCCGTCAACCTTTGGCACTAGAGCAGCTCTCCGAGGTGCTCAACATAAAGATCAACCAGTCAAGCTCCCAACAAAGTGGGCACGTGAACGGAATCAACCACCTTCCAGCCTGGTGTGAAAATCTAATACAGGTGGAAGACGGAAGCGAAACAGTCCATTTCAGTCACCACTCCATACGTTCATATCTTCTGGGACCTACGAAGAAGGCGGTTTCGGATTTTAATCTCAATCTCGAAGATTGTGATGACTTCATCGGCGATATTTGCTTGACGTATCTTCATTTCAGCGATTTACAGACAGCCTTAACCCGAAAGTTTCACGACAAGCCGATTGATTTAGGGCATGTTCCTCTCGGAGTTGTCGATCACACAATCGATAATCTTGGGGCAAAGTCTCATGGGAGGCGCATAGCAAGATTTGCCAAGATGCCCTTTGGGACCTCGCAGTCGATGGCACTATCGAAACCACTGCCAGTAATAAGCGACATCAACATAGCAACAGACTCTGCTGCCGCACAGTACTTTCCTTTCTTGCCGTATGCCAAAGATAATTGGTATCGTCACACCGTGCGGATTTCGCCTGCCTCAGAGGCGTGGGAATTATGGCGGAAAATAAACGCCAATGCCTCATTCACGCCTTGGACAGACCCGGAGTGGCATGCTCCGGGTATTCCTATGTCGAATTGGCTTGAAAGCTCCAGAGATATTGTTCTGACATCTCAAAGAACTCTCGAAGGAACGGACGAACTCCAAACGTGTTTTTCACTGCACAAAGCAATCGCCTTTGCCGATCTCTTAGACCACCAACCGCTCCTCGCACAGATAGTCTCAAAATTGATAGACTATGATCTCCCGGTAAGTCCATGGGTCTTACATCGACTCGTGGAGCCCAGAGCTGTCCAACCTCTACCCAAAGAGGATCCGACGCACACTTGGGATGCTGAAGCCCACCAAATCGTCATTGACTGTGTTACTCGCTACACAGCATGGGGAGGTCAGAGATGGCCATGCAACTTTTCTGATACCAGTTATTGCGAGGAATTCTGCAACGACACAGGTTGTACAATCATTCATAGACAAAGCGGTCAAATCCTGAGCGGGAAATACAACAACACACAAATCAGCCAGAATATGCAAGTGCTAGCCCATGTTGCGGTCGCAAATTTCACCGAACGCAATTTTGATCTCTTGGTGTTCAACGATCTACAGAAGTTGCCGGCACATGGGCTTCCTACTCTCTTCCAAATTGCAATAGAGCGGGGAAGTCCATGGTCCTTCAGAGCCATTGATGTGCTTGCACAGAAGAGGATACCCGAAGAACGACTCTACTCAAGCGTTGCAAAAGCTCTCACAAAGGCACAGGATATAGATGCTCTTGAATACCTCTTCGAGATAATGCATCTCAAGGCTTCTGGTGGATCCAACGATGTTCAATTGGCGACACTGGGATCTGCGCTAGAGCGCTTCCCACAGCTACCAAATAGGCTTCTGCAGCGTGTTACACAGCTTTGTATTCCTCCAACTTGCGGAGATAAGCTAGGTTTAATGCAGCTTCTTTTGAGGCGAGCTATCCAAACTACAAAAGGCTGGGGCGTTGCTGCCGCGCTGCATAGCTGCATCCTTGCGAGTGTGCCTGCAGGAGAATCAGCTTTTGGGCTCATAGAGTGTGAGCTTGCACACATAGAAGACATGTTGAATTTGGTGGACGGTATACTTCGGTGTGTGACTGATATCACGGGCCAATGCGCATTGTCAGTGGCCATGGAGCAGCGCCCGCAGTTACACTATTGTGAAGAACACAAACTGAATGTTTTAGCAATTCTTGATCGCAGAATGGATGGAGACCCGCCAACTTGGAATCATACATGGAAGTATCTAAAGGAGTGTATAAGTGAGGAGGCTTAGGATTGATCTACTAGCAAAGATATTCCGTTCTAAAGCTTCTTATTGAAACTCTATGCTACTAATTTTCGAGAACTTGCAGACAATGAGTAGCAAGATAACTGGTAGATACGAAACAAAATTTGAGTTAAACTTGATTTGTCTTTCAATGCAACCGCCGGCGCAAGAGCACAGAATGTTTAACAATGGTCCAGAAGGCACAAATCAGAACATGCTGCCGCTGGCTCAACTACCTATCCACACTGTCGCGTCGACCGTGAAAGGAGCACAAGTCCAATTGGTTGGCCATTCAAGCGATACCATCGAACGCGAGCCCCATTGAGCTATGTGAGTAGAGTAGTACCTGGTGCATCAGCAATAGGTTGCACCTGCAGCATTTACCGCTTTCTACTGGGCAGCAATTGACTTGTCATAACGGGGCGAGAGGATCCTTAAGCAACGCTCTTAATACCCACATCACCCAGCTCAATCGTCCTAACCGACAACAGTAGCGTGAATAATCTCATCTCCTAATACGACAGCCTCGCATTCAATCCAATCCATGGGACGAAATATTCTCCATCCGCTTCGCTTCCCTCCGCCCCATAGAATCTTCCGGGAGCGGGAAGACGAGAAGCCGATTTACCCTGGAACCATCACGGAAAACGCCTCGGCCTCCTCGGGCGGTGAGCGCTGCTATGGGCAAGGTCCCATGATAGGCTACCTTTCGCTTGAGACGCGATGAGACATTACGGCGACCCGTTCAAACAATACCCGGGGAGAACGTGATTGGGTTGAGATGAACGCAGGTAACCTTAATTCGCATCTGGCATTGGGGCAAATGCGAATGCTATCGCGAAGGTTAACCGGCACTTTGGTACTATGTGCTGAGGTACGTCGACTTAAGCGTCGCTAAGAGGCCCCTTCGCGTCTACTATGGTAGGGAGCACGAATCAAGTCCCGGATTACGCAGGGTCAAGGCCTGAGGGTTCCGAGAGGGGAAATTCGTCACTGACTTGGGGAATTCACTACGCAAAGAAATGCAGTGAACTGCAAGCACACGGCCGCAGCTCGATATCACGGACAGCCAAGAATACCTAGAAGTGCAGCAGCTTCATGCAGCTGAGCGAGAAGAATGATTCCTTGCGAGGAGCGGGTTTGGAAGCTCGGCTCCGCGCCCTCGCGTTTTCATAGTGTATCGCCCGAAAGCAACATTGACGGTGACGCGGCGACTCCTTTTGCGGGGAGGATATCTCGGGTGCGTGAATTGGCTCATCCCATGGCAAGCGCTGTAGGTCTGAGCGCGCTTGGAAAGGGACTCAATGCGACCCGAGCTGGAATTTGACGTTTGATGGGTGACGGATATCCTGCTGACCTTGGCACGAGCTTCCTATGCCTTCAGATTGACCCCTTGCGACAGATGGTCTGAAGTTGAGTCTAGAATTAGCGGCAGAGCCGTCGATTTCGCGACGAAATATTGCTGCGGATGGCTAAGATTGCCGCGAGCCCGCAACTGGGGGCTGGCAACATGATTCAGATGACAACTCCGATGTTGTGGATGTGAGAGGCGTCGGTTTGGAAACGCCGTTCTTGACCCCTCTTGTCGATCGGCGGCGGCTTGGAGGGTTGGAGCTGAGATCGTAAACTCAATTTGAATCAACATCGTGGAGGCCAGACTCAGGAGAGAGACCTTGAGCCGGCGACTATCACACGGAGGCTTGGTGATGATGCCGGTAAGTGCCGTGGATGATAGCTGACCCCTGTCGGGAAGGGAAGCTTAAAGGGAGGCAGCTTGGCATTGAAGAAAGCTTGGCGTTAATTGTGGAGACCGGAGGCTGACTGGTAGAGTGTCGTGGATGTCTGTGTGAGCGACGATCACGCAGGTGGGCCAGGTTGGTGCCTCATGCGGGCATAAAAGCCGTTTTGAGTGTGGAGAGCCGTGCCAATGTTTGGCGTTGGCCGTTTCACCAGGATATGGCATAGCGGCGTCAGGACGAGGGCGAGGACGATTGCAGCGAAGATGCGCAAAACGGCTGGTGGGGGCTTGGCGAAGCGGCTCCAAGTAACAGGAGCGGCCAGGGGCGTTCTGACGAGGCTAGTTGATAGACGTCAGCGCGTCTGGCGAATGGTTTTGGCTGGCATCGGTGACGGGCTTGGAGCGGCGATGATACTGGAGGCGGAACCGGTGCAGGACTGGGGGCGAGTCAATACGAGTCTTTTGCCTTTTTGGTAAGCATTGGGTGAGGGAGGAGTCGAGTTGGAGATTGTGCCGAGTATCCGAAACGGCCAGGGCGGTAGGTCGAGCAAGAGACAGGAGGAGAGAGAGTTGTGGGCGAGTGTGGGTGGTCCGTCCTGGAGGGAGCGAGAACGAGGCAGAGGTTCAGCCTCGCTGGAAGAAGAACGTCGAGCCAAGAACGAGGTGGACTGATGGTTCAAATAAAAAAGCGAGAATGCTTGAAGTCTTTAAGCTTGAGCCGGGGAAAAAAATAGGGTTGAATAGGGATTCCGCGCAAGGTGAATCAAAGACAGGTGATCTGTAAACATTATCGTACGATTCTTACGTTGAGGAGCCCACGGATGGGCTCATGGAAGGCCGTCTTGCTGGGTGGTCCATTCGACTGAGACCCTGAGGAGAGGTAAGGGCGCATGGGAGCAACATTGCGTCGAGGCAAAGGAGGGATGCCATTGGGCGATGGCGGCACATGGCTTAGACTTTCCGCTCGTGCCAGACAGTCAGGGGGGAAGATGGCGCCCCTGCGAACCTTGCCCGGGCGACAGGTGGGCTTGTTAGGATCGAGATAAGCTGACAGGCGTCTTTGGGCGGGTGCTGGAGGGAAAAAGGACGGAGGGAGGGTGGGTGGAAGTTTGACGTGAGGGTTGGCAAAAGGGTTG